CGCAATAACAGCAGGGTTAAAACTAACTTCCATGAATGTTGCATTATTTTAGGTTTCAGTTACAAAATTTGCTACGACTCCGCCGAACTATTCTGATGACTATAATATCGAGCTATACCGTTTTAAATGTTTTAGGGCATTAAGCCTTTCAAAGTAGGTTTTGATAAAGTCTTGTCCGGCTCTAGTGGTGTGACCACGCCCTAACTACAGGCCGCACCCAAGACCAAGGTTTATTGTGAATTTTTTTCTTAATATTCTACTGTTAGGTCTAGCTAATTGTAATCTATTATCAAATAAAGAATCAAAATACTTACTTCATTTGTTTAACAATGGTGCTTTTTCCCGATTCTCCGGCACCTGCAAAGGAAAAAAAAAAGACAAAAACAATGCGTGTAAAGACTAAAAAAAACTTAAATATAGATCGGCGTTCTTGGTTTTTACACCATGTCGAGTTGTTTCGGGTACTTGCAAAGGTGTAATACCCATAAAAAGATCTCGGGATTTACGTCATCAAGTATCTTAGAGGTAATTGTGAAAAACATAATATTAAATTGCTTATCTTTATTCATCCTTATTTTAATTTTCTGCCGCATTTAACTGCTGTATGGTGTATTTATAATATGTATTATGTTACCATTAACTTCTTAGACCAACGAAATGATGCGACTTACCTAAGAGTAATAGTTTTATATCCTTGGCAGCTTGTATTCCATCCTCCTTCAGATTTTTCTCAATTTGTCTACTACGGGCCATTGCCGCCCGCTCTTCGGCGCTCATAGCACACCCCATGGCGGCGGCAGCAGTCCGTGGTTCCCCTCACACACTGCTCAGTTCGGTGACACCTATTGAACACTGGCTTAAGTCACCACTGGCCGCCGTCCCCTGCCACACAGTCCCTCACACACACACACACAAAATCAGGTCCACAGTTATCCTCTGGGTACGTACTAATTTTTTCTTTTCTCCACCAGAGGGAACGACACAGTAAAAAGACTCCCGGTCTCCCGAAAGGAATCAGCTACGATATGATAATGAGAAGAAATAGCGAATGGAGTTGACCAATCACAAACTAGTATAGCCTACCCAGTTCATGGTTGCCATGGTCCTGCATCATGAGGTTTGGCGGGGAACATGACGTCAATAATCCGTCACCAGCTGCTCAGAAACACTGAACGTTTATAGATAGCTTCAACTGACCTTTCACATATAAAACTATTCACTGCACTGTTGTTTAAGAATCAAAATGAATTCACGGGAGCAAACGTGAATATGTGACTATCATTATCTACTTCCTCCTTCGTTAAGCAATTACTCGAGTATCGTGTAAAAATATAGCATTACAATCAGTTAAATCACAGCTTTAACACAGTAGCTCTTGGGCTACTTACTAAGAAAGAACCTTATTATCGTCTCTTCGAAGCCTACATGGAAGCTTGTTAGCGTCTCTCCGTAGCCTACATGCGCAGACGTTAAGAGCACGCTGCTCCACCTACCAAAAAAAGTATACAATGAATCGTGTAATCGTTCTTCTTTTAACTATCAAGCATAAGTTTTAAAACAACTTGTATCATAATTATATTCTAACTTTCTAGCCGCTAACTTTGACGTTTGAAAGTTTTTGTGTTATTATTACATTAAAATTTAAGCGATAAGTTAGTTATCTTCAGGATTCTTTATTCAGGGGTGTACTTCACCTAGAACTTTGGCACACGTAAGTTACACAAAGCTTTAACTGTAAAATCACAGCTCTCATTCACAAAGTCAACTGTCATTCTACAAGCGCCATCTGTAGAATATAAATTATAATTTGTAATTTAATATATATATTATATATATTAAATATTTTTTATAACGTTTCTTATACGATTAAAAGCACGCCATCACAATACTAACATATAATATAAAACCTTAAAAGACTGATAATAACTCACATTGGAATTGTTTAATTTTAACTGATCATTTTGAGATACAACAAAAAAAGATGCCCGTTTGGTTGTTTTTGGAATTTCAGGAAAAGTTGCTACAAAGTTGTCTGCGCTTCTCGTCCCTAATTTAAAGGTGAGAAAGCAGCTAGTTAACATCACTCACCTCCAACTCTTGGACCACTCTTTTATCAAAGAAATGTGGAATTGACCGTCACTGATCCGACGCTGTGGAGAATCGAGCAATCCATTGGTTCGAGCTCAAGACTCAAAAGAGGGTTGCTGAGGAGGACTTGACTGTTTATACGGACGATCTGCACCATCTCCATAGGAAAGTATATCCTGCAATGGCTTCTGCAGATCGAGCAGACATCTTGGTGGAAAAGTTCATCAAGGAACTTCAAGGCGCGACAATGAGACACTATTTGGATGTGAAAGATAACGTCACCCAAAAGAGGCAGTTTCCGTAGGAACCAAGTGTGAAGTGGTAATTCAAGCCCATTGCAGAAATGGAAGAAATCTGCAGCATTAGCTGCTGTAGGTACACCTGAGACAGACCATCTTATTCAAGTACCTTCATCATGCCGAACTTGAGCCAAGCCGAGGGTTAACCACCATCCACATATTCTGGTACTGCGATACAACCATAATGGTTCCAGAGAATAGGCAGGGCTATCCCGGTCCTCCTATGGCTTTTATAGTACAGGCTATGATAATTATGCCTCCACCCGGATATCGTCTGGGATCAGAGGAACAAAGTGTCTGCTTTCCTTGTGGTATGTTTGGTCACTGTTGAGTGATCTGCCCGTTCTTTTCTGAGTAGTGATGTAGTCAAGGCTATCAGTTCCAACCAACAGCTAAGCAGGTGCCAGAGAACCAGCAAAGCCCATACTGTATTGAGCAGCAGGATGAGTAAGATTATCGATTTTGAATGATGGCTCAGCAGGTCCAGGAGAACCAAAAGCAAGCAGTAAATGCTGTCGTTACAGCTTTGAAACAGAGGAGCAAAGTGTCTGCTTTCCTTGTGGCATGTTTGGTCACTGGTGAGTGATCTGCCCGTTCTTTTCTGAGTAGTGATGAAGTCAAGGCTATCAGTTCCAATTTGATTTTGTTTTATCTGCCTTTTATCCTTTGTCATTCTGTGGAGATAACACATGTACTGCCCATGATAGTAATGGCTGTAATGGTGCACGTTGTGCGTCAATGGCCAATGTCTTCTAGATAATATCTTCATATGTAGGAATGAGAACGATCGGTCACATGATCAGCACTAGCAGCTTTGGATAATTCCAATGTCTTCCGTTAAGTAAAAAACTTTAGAACTGAACATTAATGTTCTAGATCTAGAGTGAGCTGGTTAGCAGGAATACATCTCTTGTTTTGAATTTCGCGCAAAGCTAAACGAAGGATATCTGCGCTAGTCGTCCCTAATTTAGCAGTGAAAGGCTAGAGGGAAGGCAGCTAGTCATCACTACCCACTGCTAACTCTTGGGCTATTCTTTTTTACAAACGAATAGTGGGATTGACCGTAATATTAAAACGCCCCCACGGCTGAAAGGGCGAGCATGTTTGATGAGACGGGGATTCGAACCCGCGACCCTCATATTGCGAATCAAGCGCCCTAGCCACCTAGCCGGCTTACCCTTATAAAAATTCATCTTTGAATTTTTTTTTTCCCGAAAAGCTGTACGAGGACAATCTTCACTACCCATCCCTAATTTCTAAGTTATAAACAAGAGGGAAGGTAGTTATTCAATACCACCCACCAAAAACTCTTGGGCTACTCTTATTCAACCGAGTTGTGGGATTTGACCACCACTTTTATAATGCATCCACGGCCCAAAGTGTAAAGCACGAATCTTTTGGTGGCAGTAATGGGATACAGAACACATTACCCCAGATCTCCAGTCCAGCACACACTAACCATTGAGCTGTCCTCATCTTTCATGGTCGATATCAGTGCCTAGAAAGAGTGGTATTAGACAACTTATTGGAGTAATTAAGTAACCATCTTTATAAATTTCCCAAATTAAAATCGTATATATATACAGCATTTTCATTGATTTCGTCCCTCAATGAAAATTTCAAATGCTCTAAGGGTTCGGAGACAGCCCGCTTTGCAAATGATTCAATAGCCATTGGTATCCTTGACAAATCAAACCAATACGCTTTTTCAACAGTCAACAGTGTCTAATAGTTGTACAGTTAGAAACTGCAAGGTTTTTACTCTTAAATAATCTGAACATATCTTTATTCCGGTATATACAGGGATTTATTTTTGTCTCATGAAAAGTTTTAGTGTGTTGACATTGGTTTTAATACCCTTGGCGACAGAATACAAGTAGCTTGTTTGTTTGTTTTGAATTTCGCGCAAAGCCACACGAGGTCTATCTGTGCTAGCTGTCTCTGATTTAGCAGTGCAAGACTAGAGGGAAGGCAGCTAGTCATCACCTCCCACCGCCAACTATTGGGCTACTATTTTACCAACGAATAGTGGGATTGACCGTCACATTATAACGCCCTCACGGCTGAAAGGACGAGCATGTTTGGTGGGACGGAGTTTCGAACCCGCGACCCACAGATTGCCATATAAATAGCCATAAACCTGCTTTAATTCTCATCTCATGTTGAGCTTCCATTTAGCAATGATCATTCAAAAGAGCTCATTTCAAGAGAGCATTTGTTTGTTTACTTTATTATAGCAAAGCCACATCGGGCTATCCGCTATGTCCACAGCAGATGGGAATCGAACCTCTGATTGTAGCTTTGCAAATCCGAAGACTTACCGCTGTCCCTCGTAGGGGACACTATGTTTCTCTATCATCTTTCTCTCCTGGGGTTTAGGTCCTAATAGCGAAAAAAGTGTTGCAAAAGGTTTGTATAAGTTGGTATAAGCTGAGAGTTAATTTCCCTTTGACTATGAATGATCATTGACATAGACAATTTACATTGTGAAATGCTGTACTAAATACTTCCATTTGGCTGAAAAGTATGGTACAGTCACAACCCTTTGGTGTTCAATATGAACAATCCTGCTGTATTTTGTTGGGCTCTTCTCTTCCAACAGTACCCTTTCAGTAGCTCAGCAGTTAAGTCTGAAAAATTATAACGCTAAAAACCGGGTGTCGATACCCGTGATGGGAACAGCAGATAGCCCCTTGTGTAGCTTTGTGCTTAACATTGAACAAGCAAACACACTTTTCCAACAGAAAGTTTAAATGCCATTGAACCTAGTAAGTTACGCTGTAAGACCCGACACGTTTTATGATTGGTTATTATTATTTGTTCTACACTTGTGTTTGAGTTGTTTCTTTGGCAGGTTCATTTTCATCCTTCCACCAAGCGTTTTCGAACTTTACAATGTACTTAATACTTTTTCTGTTGGCTCCAGTTTTACCAGAGAATATCATAGCATCATTCAAGTGTGAACAAAGTGTTTGAGAACAAAAGATGATAATCAAACAATTCAAATTGTGAACCTTGTTAACATTTTGAAATAACAATAATAATCTATAGGTTGCCACAACAGGAAATGCACGTATTTTTTATAACAATACATGAGTTTTAAACACTTTCCTATAAAAGAATTCAAGTAAAGACGAAAACACAAGTTAACAAATGAATGAAGAAAGTAGTGAAATAGTTAAAGTAACCTCTTCAAGCACACAATTTTAAAAAACGCCGATCCCCAAGGTAATAAATGGATAAAATAACTTCGTAGAAATATACATTTTTATAAACCCTAAAATTGGGAGTAGATCGTACAGAAATTAAAGGTGTACAAAACTTGAAGATA